GGCACCCGGCTGGCTCAGTCAGTAGAGCATGAGACTCTTGACCTCAGGGTCATGAGTTCAAGCTTCATGTGAAGCATAGAGATTTTAAAAAAGGATAGGGGGAAAAAAGGATCTTAGAGGACATAGGAGCAAAATAAGACTTTTGAAAATGTGTAATTCTAACATATTTACGAAATAAGAGAAGATACAACACCTATGGAAAAATAGGATTCTGTACAAGTAGGAACAGCCAGAAAACAAAAATTATTTCTTGAAATTCGCAATATGATAGTCAAAATGAAAAAATTAGCAAAAAGACTGGAAGATAATATGGAGAAACATTTCTTTAAAAGCAGACAACAGGGGCGCCTGGGTGGCGCAGTCGGTTAAGCGTCCGACTTCAGCCAGGTCACGATCTCGCGGTCCGTGAGTTCGAGCCCCGCGTCGGGCTCTGGGCTGATGGCTCGGAGCCTGGAGCCTGTTTCCGATTCTGTGTCTCCCTCTCTCTCTGCCCCTCCCCCGTTCATGCTCCGTCTCTCTCTGTCCCAAAAATAAATAAACGTTGAAAAAAAAAATTAAAAAAAAAAATAAAATAAATAAAAGCAGACAACAGGTAATATATAAAATAGAAGATAAGTGACAGAATTAAAGAATCAGGCCAGGAGGTGCAAGAAAGTTGAAGATAACACAGTCTGAAAATGTAAGAGAGAAAATTGTCAAGTGTCTAAAGAGAGAAAAGTGTCAAGTGTCAATTCCTCAAACTGAAGGTCATTTGTTCCCAGACCAGGAGAGTTCACTGAGGGCTCAGAACACGAGATGAAAAAAGACCCACTTTAAAGTATGTCATCACACTTTATTGTCATCAGATTGCTAGAGAACAAAAAAAGATCTTAAAAATCTCCAGCAGCAAAGTCAAGGGATGTCAAGGGAAGTTCAGTAAAAAAGGATCCCACTTCAAATATAGTCAATGGTACAGTAATAGCGTTGTGTGGTGACAGATGGTGGCTATGCTTGTGGTGAGCATAGCATAACTTATAGAATCACTATGTTGTATACTTGAAACTAATACAACATTGTATGTCCATACTCAATGAGTATGCAACTCATTTGCATATACGACTGTACTAAAAAAAACTTTTTTAAAGGATCCCATTTCAGAACCGTTTCAGACATCTCAACACTAATGTTGGAAGCCAGAAGACAAATGAACAATAACTTCAAAATTCTGAAGAAAATTACTTCCAATCTGTAATTCCATATCCTGCAATCCAGCGTGAAGGTAGATTATAACCTTTTTAAACATTGAAGTCTCAAAATATTTATGTCCCAAACATCGTATCAGGAAGAAACTGGAAGATGTGCTCCATCAAATGGAAGGAATAAAGCAAGAGATCCAGGAGATGGGAAGTTGCAGGACAGCAGGTCTAGAGAACTCCCAGGCTACATGGGTGCAAGGCAGTGGAAGGCTTTGGGAGTGTGCCTCTGACAAAGAGATGGACTTTATAGACTTTTGTGATGTATTTGAAATATTGAAAGGAGAATTACACTTCTGGGGGAGAATTTGGGAGTGGATTAGTGATAGGTGCCTAGAAAATTAAGCAAACAAAAACTGAGGCAATTAACTCTAATAAATATTTTTTTATTATTTTATTCCAGTATAGTTTACAGTGTTATATTAGTTTCAGGTGTTCACTATAGTGACTCAACACTTCTTTTTTTTTTTTTTTTTTTTTAACGTTTATGTATTTTTGAGACAGAGAGAGACAGAGCATGAACAGGGGAGGGTCAGAGAGAGAGGGAGACACAATCCGAAACAGGCTCCAGGCTCTGAACGGTCAGCACAGAGCCCGACGCAGGGCTCGAACTCACGGACGGTGAGATCATGACCTCAGCCGAAGTCGGATGCCCAACCGACCGAGCCACCCAGGCACCCCGTGATTCAACACTTCTTACAGCACCCAGTGCTCATGACAACAATTAAGTGCACTCCTTAATCCCCATGACCTATTTCCCCAGCCTCCCACCCACCTCCCCTGTGATTACCATCAGTTCTCTATAGTTAAGAGTCTGTTTCTTGGCTGCCCCCCCGTCTCTCTCTCTCTCTCTCTCTCTCTGTCTCTCTCTCTTTTACTCTGCTCATTTGTCTTGTTTCTTAAATTCCACACATGAGTGAAATCATAAGGTATTTGTCTTTCTCTAACTTATTTCACTTAGCATTATACTCTAGCTCCATCCATGTCATTGCAAATGGTAAGATTTCTTCTTTTTATGGCTGATCTACTAAATAGAAATTACATTAGGGAGAAATTATAATAAATTAAAGGATCACAGGTAAATAGTATTCACAAGATTATAATAATACAGAATATTTATTTAGCCAAAAATTGTGATGTATCTTAAATAGGGCAGATGTGGGGAAGGGAAATGTCTTACCTCAGACTGCCATAACAAAATTGCATGGCTTACCAGGAATGTATTTCTCACAGTTCTGGAGGCTTAAGTCCAAGATGAAGGTGTGAGCAGGTACTTTTCATTCTGTAGCTTGTAGGCAGCATCCATCTCACTGTGTGCTCATACACCTTCTCTGCAAGTGTGGAGAAAGAGGGAAAGCAAACTTCCCTCTTACAGGATGCTAATACGATCACGAGGGCCCCATCCTCATGACCTCGTATGACACTAATTACCTTCCCCAAACCCCTTCCCCAAATACGAACACGTTGAGGGTTAAAGCTTCAACGTGTGAAGGGGGTGGAGGGACACAAACATTTAGTCCATAACAAGAAGAGTGTGCCTGTGTGTGTGTTTGTTGATATGTTTAGTGTGGTAGAGCAAGAAAGTGGGGAGTAGGAAAGCTAAATCCTTATCTTGCATAGTAAGTGTACCAGCCAGGGTCTAGAGAGCAGTACACTCTAAATGGGATGATTTGAGGGGGGTTTATATACAAAGGTGTGACAATTGGCAGGAAGGAACAAGAGATCGTGCAATATTCCAGGGCTTAGTAGCAATTGCCTTGTTAGCAACCCTAGGCCCAGAGAGCTAAATGGAGTACGTGGGGACCACAGTCTAGAATGAGAACCAAGCAGAGTGGCCCTTCTAAAGAGAAGCAGTGACCTCCAGTTGAGGACATAGCCAGCTAGAGCAGATGGTCAAGGAGGGAGTCAGGGGAATAAATATTCTCATCTCACTGTCTTTTATCACTTGCTTTCTCTAATCTCCTCTCCAACTTCTCCCAACTAGAGGAAAAACTCAGCTGGAAACCAGAGTGCCTATTCATAAACCCATTGCTGTGGCCCAGACAAGTGAATTTCTCTGAACAGAGAGGAAGGAGAAGAAGAGTAGATCCAAGGGACAAATGGAAGATATCCAACACAATAATAAAAAGAAGCAGAAGAAGAAGACGAAGACGAAGAAGAAGAAGAAGAAGAAGAAGAAGAAGAAGAAGAAGAAGAAATAATAGGCATGTAATTCTATTATGTACCCAAAAGAAACCTAAAGCAGTTGAAAATAAGTCCCTATCCAAAATGAAAATTGGAAATGGGGAGACACTGGAATGGGAATTTCTTCTTTTTCTTTTTCTTTTTTTTAGTATATTTTGTAGAACAATTTGACTTTTATAACTAAGTAGAACTTTGATAAAAATAATTTTTAAGTGTTCTTTGTATTTGCAATGAGAAAATCACTGATGACCTTTTGCCCTGCAATTTCAGTTAAGTGATGGGAATTGAGGTCAGATTATAGTGGGTTGAGAAGAGAAGCTGAGATGATTGGGAAATGAATTCTAAAAGCCAGCCGGGGGTGCCTGGGTGGCTCAGTCGGTTAAGCGTCCGACTTCAGCTCAGGTCATGATCTCTCGGTCTGTGGGTTCGAGCCCTGCATCAGGCTCTGTGCTGACAGCTCAGAGCCTGGAGCCTGCTTCAGATTCTGTGTCTCCCTCTCTCTCTCTGCCCCTTCTCAGCTCATGCTCTGTCTCTGTCTCTCTCTCAAAGATAAATATACATTAAAAAAAAAGTTACAAGCCAGCCAAACTGTGTTAATCAGATGTTTAGTGAATGTCTGCAATAGCTAGTCAGTTAGTTTAGGTAGATGGAAGGTGTGCCACATGTGATTTGTGTTTTAATGTGCTCTGCCTATTAATGAGCTCTGCATCCAATACTTTGGACCCACGTGTATAATCCATATGTCCTATATGTTCTTACACAGTTTTAGGATTCAGAATATCTTTTTGAGCTTTTAATTATTAAAATGGTTTCTGGCAGTTATTTATTTTTAAAAAATATTTATTTATTTAGAGAGAGAGTGCGAGTGCATGTGGGAAAGGGGCAGATAGAGAGGGAGAGAATCTCAAATCTCAAACTTAGTGTCAGTGCAGAGCCCAACGCAGGGCTCCATCTCACGAACCGTGAGATCATGACCTGAACCCAAATCAAGAGTGAGATGCTTAACCGACTAAGCCACTCAGGCACCCCCTGGCTATTATTTTTTAACCTGTCCCCAGAATTTCTTGCCTCTAACACCCATTCCTCCTGCTGTATTTCCTTTATATACCTTCCAAACTCAAACTCAAAAGTCTGACCCATCTTTGACCTCCTTGTTCACTTCAAAAATGTCCTTGCTAAATTCCATACATTCTATCCATTAAATGTGGGTTTTTAAAAATATTTTTTATTTATTATTTTTTAAAGTAATCTCTATATACAATGTAAGGCTCAAACTCACAACACCAAGATCAAGAGTCACATGCTCTACTGACTGAGCCAGCCAGGTACCCCTATCCATCAAATGTTTTTAATTTTTATTTCCATTTCTCCATCCTGGCTGGCTCTGACAGAGGTTAAGTTATCAGGATTTGTTGACTGTCACTATGCATTATCTCTCTGTGCCTCGAAACTGTATCTCCAATAGCTCCCTTTATTAATTTATGGATTTTGTGATCTTATTAGAAACTGCTTTTCTAGCCAAATGACTTACTACTTCCCTTTTCTTGAACCAAACATGACTCTCTTAGTACTCTCTAAGATTTCCAGTCTCCACGCTGGTGCTCACATTGTCACCTCTGTTTTCAGCACCTTCACCCTCAGTGTCTCCATGTCCAATCTTTCCCATTCTTCAGGGCCAGCTCAAATGCCTTCTCATTCCTGGGGTGGCTCTTGAAGATGCTTTCATGGAAGATATGACCTCTTTTTCTGAACTCCCTCATTACTGTCTCTGAACCTTCTTGTGTTCTAGTATATGGCAGGGGTGGGGGCTGGTTGGTGGGGTAGGCCTCACTTATAACCAACTTGAAGGAAGATTCCCTGTCTAATTCATCTTTGTTTTCCCTGAGCAGCTAGCATAGTATCCTGTAAATATACACAATATACAGTACATTTGTTGAATTTTTAATTAAGTAGCTAATCCATATTTTTTCCTTGCTTTATTGAGGCATAATTGGCGTACAAAAGAACTGCATATAATTCATGTCTATCATTTGGTAAGTTTGTACATATGTATACACTTGTTATACTATCACCAAAGTGAAGGTAATAAACATCTACATCACTTTCAAAAGTTTTATTGTGTCCCTTGTTTTTGTTTTGGTTTGGTTTTGGGTTTTTTTTTTTTTTTGTAAGACTACAACATGAGATAGACCTTCTTAACAATTTTAAGCACATAATACCCTATTATTAACTGTAGGCACTGCGTTATACAGCAGATCTCTGGAATTTACTCATCTTGTATTAACTTTATACACTGAACAACTTCCCTATATTCCTCTCCCCCATCCCCTGGTAACCATCATTCTGCCAATCCATATTTGATTTTATGATATACTGCCACTTGAAAAGTAAAAAAGAACAGTAATCTTAAGGAACTGTCATCATAATAAGACAAACTTACTTTGCCCTTAGTCCCAGCAAGATGAGAAAACACATATGATTGTTAAGGAGAACATGGAGGGTGCATAGACTAAAAAGTCCTAGTAAAATTGAGAAGCTGTAACCCAATATTGTATCCACTGTGTACATAGAACCTCCAGAGGTATTGGAGTCACATTAACCTGGACTAAAATCTTGCCTCAGCCCCTTATCAGCTGCATATCCTTGGACCAATTATCCTCTTTGACCCCCAGTGTCCTTCTTAGCAAAATTTAAATAATAATGGTACTTACCTCCCAAAGCTGTTTGTATAATTAAATGAGATAATCTACATGAAGAGTTTTAATGGTACTTACCTCCCAAAGCTGTTTGTATAATTAAATGAGATAATCTACATGAAGAGTTTTGCAGAATACCTAGAATACATCATATACGCTCAGTAAATGATACCTTCTCTTTTTATAATCAGTGGTGAGAGCTGTATTAATCAGTTGCCAAGGGCACTAGCTTTGGAACCAGACAGAGCTGGGAGTTCTTATCATTAAAAAATGATGAGACAACACTTCCAAACTCATTTTATTAGGCCAACATTAAACTCCTACCAAAGCAAGATAAGGGCAATACAAGAAAGGAAAATCACAGGCCAGTATCTTTGATGAACATAGATGCAAAAATGCTCAGCAGACACTAGCAAGCCACATTCAACAGCACTTTAAAAGGATCACACACCATGATCAAGTGAGATTTATTCTTGGGATACAAATCAATAAACATGATATACCACATTAACAAAATGGAGAATTAAAAACCATATGATAATCTGAATACAGAAAAGGCACTCGAAAAAAGTAAATATCCTCAATTAGGTATGGAAGGAATGTACCTCAACATAGTAAAGGTCATATATGACAATCCCACAGCTAACACACTCAACAGTGAAAAGCTGGGGGCGCCTGGGTGGCTCAGTAGGTTGAGCATCTAACTCTTGATTTCAGCTCAGGTCATGATCCCAGGATTGTGGGATCAAGCTCCATATCAGGTTCCACACGGAGCATTCTCTCTCTCCTTCTGCCCCTATCCCCTGCTCACTCTCTCTCTTTCTTTCTCAAATTAAAAAAAAAAAAAAGTGAAAAGCTGAAAGCTTTTACTTTAAGATGAGCAGCAAGACAAGGATGCTCACCCTCACCACTCCTATTTAACATAGTACTAGAGTCTTAGAGCAGTTAGGCAAGAAAAAGAAATAAAAACATGCAAACTGGAAAGGAAGAAGTTAAATTGTCTGCAGATGATATGACCTTATATATAGAAAACCCTAAAGACTCCACCAAAAAACTATTGGAACTAATAAATTCAGTAAAATTACAGGAAACAAATCAATATACAAAAATCATCTGTGTTTCTATACACTAAGAATGAGCTGTCTGAAAAAGAAATCAAGAAAGCAATTCCAATTACAATAGCATAAAAAACAATAAAATATTTAGGAATAAATTTAAGGAGGTGAAAGATCTATATAATAAAAGCTATAAAATGTTGGTGAAGAAATTGAAGAAGCTACAAGTAAAATGAAAGATATCCCATGTTCATGGGTCAGAAGAGTTGATATTGTTAAGATGTCCATACTACCCAAGGCCATCTATAGATTTAATGTAATTGCTATCAAAATTCCAATGGCATTTTTCACAAAAGTAGAAAAAAAATCCTAAAATTCATACAGAACCACGAGAGATTCTGAATAGCCAAAGCAATCTTGAGTGAAAAGAACAAAGCCAGAGGCATCATACTTTCTGGTTTAAGCTATGTTACAAAGCTATAGTAATGAAAACAGTATGGTACTGGCATAAAACAGGCATATAAATCAATGAAACAAAAATAAGCCCACACATATACAGTCAACTAATCTTGGACAAAGGTGCCAAGAATATACAATGGAAGAAAGTATAATCTCCAACAAATGGTGTTGGGAAACTGGAAATTCATATGCAAAAGAATGAAATTGAGCTCTTATCTTACAGCATACACAAATTTCAACTAAAAGCAGATTAAAGACTTAAATGTAAGACCTGAAACCATAAAACTCCTGGAAGAAAACATAAGGGTAAGCTGCTTGACATTGGTCTTGGCGATGATGTTTTTTGGATATGATACCAAAGGACAGGCAACAAAAACAAAAATAAACAAATGGGACTACATCAAACTAAAAAGCTTCTGCATACCAAAGGAAACAATCAACAAAATAAAAAAGCAACCTACACAGTGGGAGAAAATATTTGCAAACTATATATCTGATAAGGGGTTAATATTCAAAATGTATAAAGAATACTCAATGCAAAAACAAACAAACATAACTCAAGAAACTTCTGGGGAACAAACTTCAGTGAAAATCAATTTAATAGACTGCTAAACATTTAAGATGTTATATACAAACCCAGTTGTAACCACAAATCAAAAACCAGTAATAGATATGCAAAAAATAAAGAGAAAGGAGTCAAAATATATCACACAAAAAAAGTCCAGAAAACTGTG